AGTGAAATATAACTAGAGCAAAAAGGTTGGGAGAAAAAATGTCTCTCCTTTAACCTGAACTAGTTTTGGAAATGGTTTCATTTATAAAAAATTTTAAAGTACTAAGCATTCTGCTTAGTAATTTAAAAGCCATATTTATTAAAGGCCTTGCCACAGTAGCATAATTTTAAAACACAGGATACTCCACTCCTCTAAGTGGATTTCAAGCTATAGCCCAAACCGAACGGCAACCTACAGTGGTTAAGAGTGCAGTAGTCTGGCTCTGTCATTACTAATGGGTGAATTTGGGCTACTTACCTTATCAAAGCCTCAGGTTCTCATCTTAATCCACATAAAGTGCTGATCCACTGTTCAGTAAATAAAAGCTGCCTCTGTTGTTGCTGTTATTATTATTAACAACACTACACACAGTCAAAACTGGGTCATAATATTGTTTTGGTAATTTTAAAAAATACTAAGTATTTTTAAAAATGTGGCTGAAAACTCAAATTGTAGGGAGGGAGAGAAGGGATCAATATTCAGTCCTTACACAAAGACCTCAATAAGTAAGAATCCGTTTCTTGTGAAAATTTTTACCATATAGTTCTAAGTTTAAGAACCTTTGCCAATATTTTAAAAAAAAATTATTCCTGATGAAAATGAAACCTCAAAAGCAAGTGAGTTAGAATTGGTTCAATATATAAATAGAAGCTATAAATGAAATTTTCATTATAAAGAAAAACGGGAAATTCTTCCAAGACTCATAAATAAAGCCAACTGAATTATTTGTGAAAGAAGAGAATCAAGGCTAAAACAGTGGACACATCATTAAACCAAATTTATGTGTTAGGTTTTTCTGTGTGTATTTTTTTAGTCCTCACCAGAGGATATTTTTTCCATTAATTTTTTTAAAGGGAGTGAAAGAGAGAGGGAAAGACAGAAACATTGATGTGAGTAAAACACATCGATTAGTTGCCTCCTGCACATGCCCTGGTCAGGGCCCGGGTCGGGGAGGAGCCTGCAACTGAGGTACGTGCCCTTGATGGGAATTGAACCCAGGACCCATTGGTCTGCAGGCCGATGCTCTATCCACTGAACCAAACTGGGCTGTGTGTTAGTTTTACATTATTCCTCTCTAGCCCACAATCAAACATTTTTCCAAATCGCTGATGAGAAAATTTAACTTCAGTGAGTTCCTTCCATCTTTTTATTCTTCCTTACCATCAGGAAGAGCTCCAAAAAGCAATAAAGTAACTAAAATTAAAGTGGGAACAGAAGAGAAAAAGAAAGGACCTGGATAACCAGACCTGTGAATAATCTGAAATGGATTAAAATTGATAGTTTTATAGAAAGATCTAAAAATTGTATTTTAATTAGCAGTGAAATCAGATATAAAAAATATGTTAATAATGCATATTAACTCTGGCCAGGTGGTTCAGTTGGTTGGAGCCTCATCCTGTGCACAAGGCCGTGGGCTCTATTCCCAGTCAAAGGTGAATATGGGAGGCAACCAATCAATGTTTCTCTTTCACATCTATGTTTCTCTCTCTGTCTCTCTCTTTTTCGAATCAATATAGAAATATATCCTCGGGTATGGAATTTTTAAAAATACAAAAGTATGCACTATATCTGTAGTAGTAATGTGAACAGCACACAAAATATTCCTTAGGTATTCAAAAACAAGATGCTCATCTCATGGACAGTTTTGACATGTCTTTTCCCTACTTTCATCTTACTCTTAACTTAAAGGAAAATATTAACATGTCCAAACTATACCTGTTTCTCAACTGCAATTACAGGTTGGCTACAAAAAGAAGAGTTGGCAGAACTCAATCAAAGCATTCTGTGAGAACTAACTGGCTATAGAGTCTGCAATAGGAATATTATCTATTTTACTAGAGGCCAGGTGCACGAAATTCATACATGGGTGGGAGGGGGGATCCCCTCAGCCAGGCCTGTACCCTCTCTAATCCGGGACCCCTCAGGGGATGTCCAACTGCCTTTTGTAATCCAGGACCACTGGCTCCTAACCGCTCACCTGCCTGCCTGCCTGATCACCCCTAACTGCTCTCCTGCTGGCCTGATTGCCCCTAACCACCTCTGCCTGGCCCCACACCCGGGACCTAGAATTCCCTCCTCTGGCCGGTTGCAGACACCCAGAACCTGGGCTTCCCTCCCTCTGGCCTGCCGCAGGCACCCCAGGACCTGGGCCGGCTTTGCCCAGGCTGGCTGCAGCCATAGGGGACCATGGGCGGGTACCCGGGCTTTGCCTGGGCTGCAGCCACAGGCACCCAGGACCGTGGGGCAGGCAGCTTGTCCTTCTCCCAGGCCACCGGCACAGACGCTGGCGCCTGGGACCGCGGGGCATGTGGCTTGTCCCTCTCCCGGGCCGCAGGCACAGATGCAGCCGCTGGTGCCTGCAACCGCAGGGCGGGCGGCTTGTCCCTCTCCCGGGCCACAGTCCAAGCCACTGGCGCCTGGGACCACGGGGCATGCGGCTTGTCCCTCTCCTGGGCCGCAGGCACTAGCGCCCAGGACCGCAGGGCAGGCGGCTTGTCCCTCTCCTGGGCTGCAGCCTGGCTGGTCCCCATTCCACTCTGGAGAGCTCATTTGTGCCTGAGTGGTCCCCATTCTTCTCTCCCCAGAGTTGAGTGTTTGAGCCTTTATGGTGTGATGGCTGATGACCATTTGCATATTAGCTCTTTATTATATAGAATTATTACTTGTAAGTTCTTTACTGCATTTTCTATATCAGTAAAATTTATAAATTTATTGTACAAAAAAAGAGAAAGAAATGAGATAAGACATGATACCTGAATATCTTTCTTGACTGCTTTAGCTTTGTTATCCACAACTTTCTTCCTAAATTCAAGAAGAACTTCTTTACAATCTTCAAGATGAACCTCAGGCTCCCAGGTATCATCATCTGAGGTGTATCCTTTCCACCGAACTTTGTAAAGGATTTTACCCTGTTACATAAATTAAAAATAGGCAAATAAAAGACATTACTGACTTGATTAAATTTCCAAAACAATACAATTACTGAGAATATGGAAGCAAACTTGAAATAGAGATTAATATGATTATAAAGTATGTTCATCTCCTGAAGTGGCTTAAGAAAAAAATAGGAGCACACCAAAAGCAAAAACAAAGCTTCTGCACAGCAGAGGAAATAACAAACAAGATGAAAAGGCAGCCCACTGAATGGAAGAAAGTATTTCCAAATCATGTAAGGGGCTAATACACAAAATATATAAAGAACTCATGTAACTCAACAGCAAAAAACCAAACCCATCTGATTTAAAAATGGGCAGATCTAAATAGACATTTTTTCAAAGAAGATATACAAATGGCCAACAGCAAAATGAAAAGATGTTCAAAATCATTAATCATCAGGGAAATGCAAATAGAAACCATACAGGTATCACCTCACACATTAGAATGGCTGTTTTCAGTAAGATAAAAAATAACTACTATTGGTGAGGATGGGCAGAAAAGAAAACCCTATGCACCACTGGTGGGAATGTCAATTGGCGGGAATGGCAACCACTGTGGAAAACAGCATGGAGGTTCCTCAAAATATTAAAAATAGAACACGATCCAGCAATTCCACTTCTGGGTATGTATCTACCCAGAAGAAAATGAAAACATTAACTCAAAAAGACATATGAACCCCCATGTTTACTCAGCATTATTCACAATAGCCAGATATGGAAGCAACCTTAGTGTCCATCAACAGATGAAGAACACATCAACACACGGCATGGCAAAAGTAGGTTTACAGTTGTTCATATGGAAAACTAGTGGCCCAGTGCATGAATTCATGCACACTGAAAGGAAATTAGAAGAAATATTTTAATATCGCTATTCGCCCTTTCTCTAAATAGAAGGGTCAACCAAATTCACGATCATTAATGACAGATCAAAACATGTGTGCGATTGGTGCTAGCAAGAGCTTTATATGTATCGTGCATGCACGCGTCAACTTAACCTTTTATAGATATAGAATAAACTTGCTTAATTAGGCCTGCTTTCTGATTTAGCTAAACATTTTCCAGCCCAGTGAAGCGTCCCAACTTTTCAAGAAATTATCAGCAATACAGCAGTAAAAATCAACATGAAGCACATTATTATTGTAGATCACAAAGGGAGAACAAAGGGTGAAATATTTAACTGCAGCAGTGTTTGACTATATTCTGTGCAGAGAAAACCTGAAGTCATTTTCAAGGATTACCATTTCTTTCTTCTTTTCAGTTGGGTCAAGTTTCTAAGCTTTCTAAATGGCTGTTTTCTGGTTAATGAAAAGAAAATAGGATTCCACCAAGTCTCCTATCTACCGACTCCAGGATTTCTGTGAGGATCAAATGAGATGAGGCACAAGAAAATGCTTCACAAACATTTGGTTAAAGTGTAAAATGTCTGCACCTGGGTATAAAGCAAGTCGTGTTCCTGGGCTGAAGAAACTCCAAGGAGGTTAGTTATTGCTAGGGAGAGGAAGCCGAGCATTCCTACATGACGTCATTAACTGGTGCCCACAGCAACTGTTTCCTGGCTGGGCTGGGCTGTGGGCCACATTTTGTGCCATTGGGTCTCTGCAGCATCGGCTGCGATTTGGTCGATGTCGCTCTGGGGTGGTGGTGTGGCCTGTGCCCCACTTGGGGGAAGCCACGTGTTGCTTTGTAGGCAACAGGTCTGCGGTGCCATTTCTCTGTAAATGGCCATTGTGCGTCACAAAAGCTCCTGCATTGAACATGTCCCCTGGTGGTAGGTGCGCATCACAGCGACCTGTCAGATGGTCAGACACTTAGCATATTAGCCTTTTATATATATATAGACTAGGGGCCCGGTGCACGAAATTCGTGCACTGTGTGTGTGTGTGTGTGTGTGTAGAGCCTAAGCTGTAGTCTGGCCTCCTTTTGTGGGAGGTGACCGGGCTGATCAGGGGAAGGCACTTGCCCCATCACCCAGTTGCTGCATCCACTGCCAGTCACCGCAGCCAGCAAGGTTTTTTCATCAACACGGACTCCAGTCCCTTCACCATAAAAAAATGACAACTTTCTTTAGGCATTTTCAAGATGTGTCTTTCATATAATAATAATTTCTTAATTTTTCTTTATCCTCACCTGAGAGATATGTTTCCATTGATTTTTAGAGAATGTGGAAGAGAAAGGGAAAGACAGAAAGAAACATCAAAGTGAGAGGAACACTTTAATTGGTTGACTCCTGCATGAGCCCAGACCTGGGCCCCGGCCAGGGAGGAGCCTGCAACCTAGATACATGCCCTTGGTCAGAACTGAACTCAGACCCTGCCATCGGCAGGCCAAGGCATTATCCACTGAGCCAAACTGGCTAGGGCAGGATATGACATTTCTTAGCCCTACAGCAGCAGACCGTTTTTTTCGCCAGAAGTGTGGTGAAAAACCCTAGATCACCTTTTTGGATTCTTATTACCCAAGTTACTAAGAATATTACCAGTGGCATACAGGGAGCTTAACCAATGAGCGGTCAGAAAAGGTGTTTCCTGCGATCGCCAGATCGGCCTCTTGCCCAGGCCTGACGCCTCCGCCAGAGGTGTCAGGCCTGGGAAGGGGACCCCCATCTCCCCCCAATCACCAGCTTCTGAGGCTTCTGGGGCTGGCCTGCGGCCTGGGATGGCAGCTTGCACTGGCCGCTGCGCTGTTCTGCCCTGCCTGCAGTATGCAAATTAGCCACCATCTTTGTTGATGTTTAATTTGCATATCGTGCTGATTAACCAATGGGAGGCATAACGAAGATATGGTCAATTACCATGTTTGTCTATTAGATAGGGTAATACAATAATTAATGCCTAACAATACAAGAATAAACTGTTTTGCATACTCCCAACTGTAAACCGAATTTTGCCCCACCCTATATATTATTCAGAAATAAAAGCATATGAAATTTGCCTTTTGCAACAACATGGATGGATCTATAGCAGTGGTTCTCAACCTTTTTTTGGCCATGCCCAACCTAAGCATCTCCAAAATCCTAATGCCCACCCCTGTGCCGTGCCAGCACAGCCACAAGTTCGGTGAGTCTGGGGGGGGGGGGGAGCGGCAGCAAAGGACATAGAAAAGATAAAGAGAATAAGCTGGGTCTAGGTGGATCTTCCTGTGCCTCCCTGAGGCCACAGAGAGAGATCCAGACAACAAGCTGAGCCTTTATTTTATAGCCAGAGGTAAACAAGGTAGTGGTCACCACGGTTACAATTTTCTTGTGAGTTTCACTTGTTTTAGCAGCACTTGCTGCACGTCCCACAGCCCATTAGCTACCCAGGTAAGATCTATGGAACATCATGAGATCATGCTTAATTATGTTAAGAAGGCTGTGCCCTCTAAGCTGGCACTTGTTTGTGGCTTTGCCAACAGGTCAATCGGAGGCTTAACCCTATAGCCGCTCCCTACATACTGAGTGACATATAATTTTTATTATTCAAAAAGTGAACTCTTATTCATGTGGAGGAAGACTAAAAGGCCATTAACACATTGTATGCAGGAAACGTATTTATACGTTTTATGTATTTATACGTTCTACCAGTGTAGTAGAGCGCGGGACACGTATTAATACGTTTTTTATAGACTAGCGGTTATCGTAATTTTACTGAACGTTGCCATTTGCACAAAAAATTAGCAAAAATGGCCCGCACCACCTGTTAGCGTGCGATAAAAACTACCCACAAACAATGTGTTAAATGGGTCTAAACAAGCTTCCAAAGAACATGGCATCCATGAAAAATGAAAGAACGACAGTCGAAGAACTGAGGAAGAAATCACTAAGAAACTGTCTAAAAAATAATAATATGAAGTGATATGAAAAAATAGCACATAAAGTTCCAAAACATGTAACAGAGAACAGAAATACGTCAGAATATATATTTATAGAGTGAATATGAGGCCCCTAGAATAATAAGAAATACAAAAAATTTACTATTAATAACTCATTCTCTAATTGCCCTCTTTAACCCTTTTCGGTCCAACGTGGAGGCTGACTCGACAGACCAGGCAATAGGAGCAGGTCCAACGTCAAGGCTGAGGTCGACACTGCAAACCGGTTCAACATTCAATCCCGTCAATAAATTTGGACCAGACTGTTTGAATTCCAATAATAAAATTGGACCACAAAGGGTTAAAAATCAAATAACCCCCACTGCAAGTGCCCCACATTGGGAACCACTGATCTAAAGAGTATTATACTAGAGAAACCAAGATGGCGGCAGGTAAACACCTGAAATTGCTGCCTCACACAACCACTTCAAAACTACAAATAAACGACAGAACAGACATCATCCAGAACCACAAGAAGGCTGGCTGAGTGGAAATTCTACAACTAGAAGGAAAGAGAATAGCACACTGACACTCAGAGGAGGTGCGGAAGTGAAGTGCAGAGATACGGAGGTGCATGTGGAAAGCGCTGGCAACTGAGGACGTGGTTGTCTTTTTCAATAGGGAGAGAGACGCACACTCCTGCTCTGAACTCCAGTTCCGGGCGAGTTGCTGGGGACCCAGACTCATACAGGGAGAAACTGGACTGTCTGGCAGCGGGCGGAAATCGAGGGTGGCTTTCTCTCACAGGTGCTTGCAGCCATTACCCTGGGACACTGAGAACCGGGGCCTATTAGGGCAGGGCTAAGGATCAGCCATAGCTGTTTGCTCTGCCCTGTTGATTCCCTGAGACACCGCCCCACCCAAGCTGCTAGCAGAGGCTTTGCATATAAATGACCTGGTCCTTTGCAATCTAAAATTACCTAAAAAACTGCAGCTGGGTCAGAGAGACCCAGAACATCCAAAAGAAGGCCCAAGGCCCCACAGCAGCTTGCATTGATTCACAGCTGGGCTTCATCTGGGCACCTCCAAATCC